CTATCTTTCTATATGTTGATAAGGGTAGAATAGAAGCAAACCATGTTGCTTCCGCGATGAAGAAATCAAAGTTACAGTACAAATAATGATCTTTGCAGCACAAGACATGGATGATTTTGACAAAAATATGCAATAAGAAGTTATAAATGTAAAATTGAAATTAGAAAGTACAATGATTCACCTTAGAAGACAAAGGAGGTAAAGAAGCCTGGCGTGCAGGATCTCTTATCTGCTGAATCTTGCAGAGCGGGTTCTGATCTCCTCCAAACATTTTGATGGGGTTTTTTGCCTCTCCCCATGTTCAGAAGAGGAAGTCAACTTCTCTTTTCTCTCTTCTAGAATCTGTAGCTTTTCCATTAGCAATTCAACCTCAGTGTCAATCTTCGACCTTTCACTATTTACTGTCGACAATGAGTTCTTCATTGAGTCTATCACCAAGGTTTTGCATCGGGAGCTATCCAACATCGATAACCCACAATGCATATCCAAAGAACTTGGAATGAATGGTTCAGTATCCACCTGGCTTGTACTTGGCAAACCTTGTAATAACTCACTGCTACTGACTCCGGCAGCGCCAAATGTATGAGTGAAATCTTGGGATCCATCCAATGCAGTATAAAGTGATGATCTACTTTCTTCTTTCCAAAGTTCAGTTTTACCATCAACGACATGAACATCATAAACAGCTGGCTCAATATCAAGCATTGAACCATGCAAATTCCTCTGAAGATCCCCATCAAGCTGTGGCACTTCTTCATCACAATGTAAGTTTTCCTCGGTACCATTATGAGCTTGGGCTGCTTCAGTAGTCATTTCTTGGCACATTACATTATCCGTGTGTACTTTTTCTCCCCTTTCTGAAAGTATACATTTCTCAAGTGAATCATGTTCATTAGGATGGATTTGTTTTTCAACAAATGAAGCCTCATACTGAGAAGTACTATTTGCAATATTTTCGATTGCCGTACAGTTGGATTTACTATCAGCAGTCTGCTTTAGCATCAGTTGTGCATCTGTATTTGGATCAAGTGAAGGTGAAGGCCTTTTTCCCGATTCACATAACATTTCACTCAAATCAGCATCAGACCGTTCCTTTCCTAAGACACCCATCTGCCTATACGATTCAACTTCCTTCTCCAAAAAATGGTTCTCCATCTCCCTCCTAAGAAGAATCTCTTTCAGAACATCCATCTCCTCTTCATCATAAATAAATTTTTCTTCGATCATCCTTTGGTACTGCCTCACTTCCATTTCTATTGATGCTTTATCCTTTTGCAGACGGGCTATCATGGCCATTGCTTCATCAGCAGCACTTGCAGCAGCAGCTCGCTCTTTCTCTAGCTCTAGATAAAGAGTAGCACAAGCAGCTTTCTCTTTTTCCAGTGCTTCTTCCAACACCCTGAGTTTATCAGTTTCATTTCCAACAACGGAAGCCTTTTCTTGCGTGTTACTAACATCCATGTCCTTACTCGCACCAAATAATCCACTCAATTCAGAACTTTGGCATATACTTTCAGCCATATCATCTCCAGCTGATGCTTTCACATAATCTAAAATGAAAGAAAATCCGCAAAAGTGAGCAAACATCATTACCAATACAGCAAAACAACAAGTTCATATGCAACCAATTCTAGTTTTAAAAGATTTTCGAAACTAAAATTGCAATAAATTTGATTCACACTACATTCTAATAGATATATAAATCCACACATTAAAGAAAACAAGTTCCTCTAATACAAAAAACATGAAATTAAGTACTGAAAACAACCAAACGAGTTTAGATATTCCTCACTCACCTTCTCTACCAGCTATGGCAACTGAGCTTTCACCCGACATCTCTCTTGTATCTCTGTTATCGCAAGGAAAGGGGAATATGCGAGCAACCAACCTTGAACTATCACTTGGATAGTAAGAAGAAAGCCTTCCGTATTCAGGAGCGGCTCTCCTAGAGCGCCGAATTCCAGTCCTTTTCTTTAGAGTCATTACCCTCTTCCCCTTAGCATCATACCCACTTTCCCTATCAACCAGGTTTTGCAATCTGGGACTCGAAAACGGACTAGAATCCGCTTCACCTTCCAACTCATGGACTCCATTCTCACAATTCACATCTCTGATCAGTTTCCTATTCAAGTTGCATCCTTGATCCCGAGACCAAATAACATCAAAAGGGAACCTGCTCTTCACCAGCTTGTGAACATCGCCGATCGTCCCAACAGGCCGGTCAATAAGCAACTTATGTAAGCAAAGATCACGGTTTCGATACCCGAAAACCCCATTACAAGGACATGGCAAATAAACCCAAAAAATCCTCAACAACTTCGAGGCGAAAAACATGAAAGCAGACACACACAGCAGGAAATAAGCCAAACCCAGGTCGAGAAAAGCTCGTATAAGACCAGCAAAGGTCCAGGGCTGAACTTCTTGGCAAGCAAAAGCCATCCCTTTTCAAAGTAATCAAAATTCTGGGATTTCACAGAATTGTGGGAAGCAATTGACGAATCATAAAGTCTGCTGATTTGGGTACAACGAATTCACCAAACCAAATCATCTGAGAATATTTTGCTGAGTTGGGTGTAAAGAATTCACCAAACCAAAAGCTACCCAGTTGGGAGAATATTAAAAGAGAAAAAGCTGCAACATCATGAATTCATGATTACAATACCCTTGGAAGTAGAAAAATTAATAATTCAAAAGATTCTCTAAAAATTGTGACGGAGATGATCATATCCTGCACTACTAGAATTCTCCAAGTAATGAATGAATCCAACTAGGTACAAGTCAATGACGCACACAATACTTAGTCCATAAGGAAGATGAATTAAAATAAATAAATAAAAGAAAAAATAGTAGAAAAAAAAAGGTAAAAATCTCAACTTTGACAGGAAATTGGTAACTCAGAGAGCTGAAAGAGAAAACCCAGCAAGGGTATGGGGAGATCGTGATGGGTTTGGACTTTTGAGCCGCGAGGTCGGAGAAAGTTCGCAGAGTTTTGGAAAGAGACGGGCTTTTGAACTGGGGAAGAAGATGGTAAATCGGCAAGTATTTCTATTTAAGTATTAGCTGACTGCTGTTGACATTCACGGAATCACCGTCGTCATCTATTAAGTCTACTTTTAAGTATTAGCTGACTGCTGTATTCTTATCTGCTGCGCGCCAAATCCCCTCAGGGGTAAGGGAGATATTTTTTTAATGTTAGCGTGATATAAGATGGTACATCATGTGTTGTTATATAAATGGTGGGATATATGTATTAAAAGGTTAATAACTTAAAAACTAAAAATTTTCACCATTTACATAAAAACACGTGATGTATCAGTCGTATTCCCGTCACAATTAACAATTTCTCAGGGTAAAGGGTGGCACCATTCGTGGAAATACTGCGCCATCCTTTTGTTTTTTTAGCCTCATTGGCGGTATGATATTGATAGATAAATTAGATTTATAGTTTAAATTTAAAAGTTAAATAATTAATAAAATAAACACGTTAATCAACATTTATATAATAATTCAATCTTTAACTTTCATGTCGTTTAATTTATAAAGTTTTGTCTACAAATCTTATCTCCCTATCATTATCCTAAATTATAATGTAAGTATCCATTTGTTAATATATCTTAGTTGATGAATTATCAAATTGTTTATTCACTCATATCCATGGTCTAAAATATCGATATTATCCCGATATTTCCATCGAAATTTCTGTATTTTTGGACAACCGATATTTCTGATATCATCGATATTTTAGAACTTGATAGGAACTCTATGTGGTACTGAGTCACTCATGCATCTTACCCTGCAATGTATAAAGTGTAAAATATTGTACTAATTTATTATATATAAATGATTATGGTGTGTTTAAACTTCTTTCATTAATTACTACATATTTTCTACACTCACAATGTTTGCCAGCTCATTGTATAATCAACTTAAATTAATTAAATCCATCATGCAATGCATTTCCTTCTAATTGTTTATGATAAACTAATAGATAATTGACTAAATAAATATCCTACAAAGTTTCAATAAAAATTTCCAAGTTTTTCTTACAATTTCTGTGGTTTTTATTCAATTTTTATCGATATTGATAAAATCCCGATATTTCCATCGAAATTTTCATGCTTTTGGACTACTGATATTTCCGATATCATCGATATTTTAAACCTTGCTCATATCATAGCATTATTGATTAGTTACATCAAATAATGTTGCGACGGTGAAACTCATAATTTCTTAACACAAATGGCAAACCCATATCAAGTAATTTGTGTCGTGCCAACATTTTAAACGAATTCTTAATCGATTTGATTGTGAAGGTAAAATGTGACGTAAAACATTGGTAAAAATAGCACAATGTTTCACTTTACATTTTAGAGGACAAGGCATGATCTAACCCTCGTATTTCAAAACGCCAAAGAAGTTTCGCGTATATATATTTTCTAAATTTTTTATAGAATAACAATTTTTTTCTATTGTATATTGAGTTGTGATGGAGAAATAAAGAAGAAGTTTCGTGTATATATATTGAGTTGTGATGGAGAATTGAAAAAGATGGTTGGTATTTATCGAAAAACAAATTTTTTCTATTTTATTTGATTTTTATATGTTTTTTTTAATTTTTGTTTTACTGTTGAAATAATCTTGATCGATGATTTTCAAACTGATCTGAAATTGACGCCCCACAACATGGTGAGTGTCTAATGGTATTTTTATCGTTAGAAATCCAAGGTTTAGATCATCTAGCCATTGGAAATCCAACGGCTTTCCATTCGCCACGTGTCTAAGCCATTGAATAGCACTCAGTGCTCTGCTGCAGCAGAGCACACCGCTGAAGTTTTGTTGGCCCACCCTCCCTTCTTCACGCGTGTGTTGCACACGCCTAGTAATAAAAACAGATGGTGGTTGACGCCATGTTGACGTCAACTTGCTTTTGACACATGCACGGGCTTTTGAGTGGGCAGTGGTTGGCCCACCACTTGCCCTTGCTTATTTAACTGCTGGAGATGGGTTTTTTTTTGGCTGGAGGGCAACATTGTTGCCTTCCGCCTCGCCTTCCACCAACCGGTGTTGATTGACTCGGGAATCACATTCTTTTATCTGAGTGCAGGGCATTTATTCAGAGTGTTTCTTTGCTGGTGTTTGTTGTGGCTGTTTGATCACCCTTCCCCTCCAGGTCAGTTCAGTTATTTTAACAATTGTGCTGCCCTGCATACATGCATAACAATGCCTGCAACTCTAGATACTCTGAAGTGCGAATAGAGTTGTATAGATATGTACTTAAATCTATGCTTAACTAGGTAGAAGATACGTCTCATAACATGCTGTAGCTCAAAGAAAAACTAGGGAAATGTTGCAATACTTGCTAAAAGGAGTGAAATGTTTTAAAAGTTTCAGATTTTCTTGGCTTTTGAAGAGTAATATTTTCGATGCTGGAACAACAAGAGTAGAGATTGATATCCAACCTTCGTTCAAGTACTAGCCTAACTTGTTCTCTTTTGCTTTCTCATCTCAGTCGTCAATAGGATTCTTCCTGAGGGAGCGCCCCCGTCTTTGCCCTCGCTACTGTTGCAACAGCACTGGTATGCAAAAGCTCTAAATATATGAATGAAATAATCATTTTTCTGTAATTTCATGAATCTAACTTGAAGATTTTCCAGGGCATTTGCACCATCTTCCCTTACGCCCTTCCGATGTGGCTGCATCAACGGCATTATTCCTTTACCTGAGACGCCGCTACTCTACCTAGCCAGAATGAGTTCCCAGAAATAGAGGATAGAAGAGAAATTACTGTGAATATTTTTGGAGTAATATCCAATACAAAATATTGATTTTTGACACAATCCTAGATATAAATTATCATACCAAACGTTTTTTTACAGTCCGCTCCTTCACCTTACCATAAAAAGCTTTAAATAACAGAAGAAATACAGTTGCATTTTTAAGGATAAATTAACTATATAGGGTAGAACTATACAAAATAACTTAATAGCTCTCTTATATGAAGTAATTTGATCACAGAAGTCGCAAAATTCGAGTTCACATGTCACGGGATGCGAGATACGAAAGCTGAATGCTGAAGGCTTCTTTGAGCTCGGCCAAAACCTCTGCTATGGTTGGCCTTTGCGATGCATCTCTCTCCACAGATTTTATAGCAACTAATGCTGCCTTTCTCATGCTTTCGACATCAAATGTGCCCTGCAGGCTCTCATCCACTATCTCATATGCACCTGCCTGTAAGTAAGGCTTGGCCTGCACTCGTCAATACAAAGAAACAATGAACTTTAGCCTGAAGGAAGAACACTGACACGCAAAGAACGAGGTGCAACAAAATACAGATATTCGGTTTTACCCATAACACCAGGTTAAAGGAGTCTGGAGTTCCAGAGTGACTCAATGGTTCTCTCCCGCATATCAGCTCCAGAAGAACAACTCCAAAGCTATAGACATCACTTTTCTCAGTAAGCTGCTGGGTTGAGTAATATCTGTGAATTGAGTTGTATAATTAATCCGTCAACACACGAGAAAAAGAAAAATCCATCAGAAATCAACAGCATTATGGAGGGTTTAAAGAAATACTCAGGGTCAATATAGCCGGCAGTGCCCTTAACGATAGTGGTCACATGAGTTGCTTCCGCTTGCATTACTTGCTTAGAAAGGCCAAAATCACAAACCTTAGCATTCATCTCCTTGTCCAGAAGGATGTTACTGCATTTCACATCACGGTGTATGACTCGCGGCTCATTCCCGTTGTGTAGATAGTCCAATCCTTCAAAAGAAAGAAATGAGACTCGTGAGTTAGATAAAGTTGTTGAAAGAGAATAGGAAGACCCAGATCAGAAGCAGAAGAACCAGCATACCTTTTGCAGCATCGACAGCAATTTTCAGCCGGCGAACCCAACTCATTGAAACTTTTTTACTCTTTGGACCTGATATAACATCAGAACACCTCTTGAAATTGCAACATGGGATTAAAGAACAACACTTTTTCAACAAGGAATTAAAATTGCTTTTGTTGATGCATAAATTTGGCATACCATAAAGATGGTTAGCCAACGATCCGCCAGGAAGATACTCATAAACAAGTATTTGCTGCTTTGCTTCATGACAGAATCCTTCCAAGCCTACAAGATTTTGATGGCTAATTCCCGACAAGAGACGCACCTATAAAAGATTCGGAACTCAGAAGTTACTAAGAGCTATGAGTTTTCAAAATATCTCTGCTTTATAAGCGAGCAAAGAGTTTACAGATTGAGATGGTGAACCTCGTTGATAAAAGAATCTGCCCCGAGTTGGCTTTTATCGAATCGTACTTTCACAGCCACCATTTTTCCATCCGAAAGCTTTCCAAGGTAAACACAACCGAAACTACCCCGGCCTAGAACCTCCTTAAACTTGTTTGTAGCTGCCTTGATTTCTTTGTAGGTAAAAACTCTTGCAGCATTCCAGTTTCGCATATCCGCCACCGCCCCTAAGCAGTCACCAAACAACGTTCGTGTAAGAATTAAGTAAGAATCTTCAATGTACAAAATCATAATCTGGATGTTCACATACTTGCCGCGCAAGTCATTTCAGTTCTCCTTTTCTTCACGTGCAAGAATACTAGAAGGAAGACAAATATCGCAAGTGCAAGTAAGGCTCCTCCAATTGCGCCAAGTATAATTGCTACACGGCTGTGTTCAGTGTGTTTCTTTCGGGGAAAGAGTGTAACTTGTGGTGCCTCAATTGAAGAGTTGGATGAAGGATCATTGCATGACATTGTCGAAAAAGAGAGGCATAAATTTCCAGATGTCCTGCACAGTATCAGTGCATTAGCACAAGAGGAAACATAAGGTGCAGCAGACGATGACAATGTTAAATTCAGTACCTGATTTCCAAACTTTCTCGGTTCAAGGACAGCGGAAGAGTGCCTTGTAGTTTGTTGTTTTCCAGGTTCCTGATAAATGCAGAGGATGTATAATTGAGTGAGACTAATGATTTTACTTGTATACGAACTGGAAAGTATACTAGGGTTCACTTACAATAAGTGAAGTTCTTCTAACTCTCCCAAGCTGTCTGGAACGATTCCCTGCAAAGTATTATTTTGCAAGTCCCTCCATATAGAGTAGGCAGGAGAAAAGTGACAATGCAATGTTAGTATCAGACTCCGGGTTCATAAACAAGCGTAAACTTATGTTCAAAAGCATAGAAATGAAAACATTCAACTTACAGAATTTGGAGGCTAACCAAGTTCTCCAACTCAGTACCGAAGGATGTTAGCCGATTGAAGCTCAGATTCCTGGAAGTTCGAGTCAAGTAAATGATTGTCACGATGTAAAGAGACAGAATTTCAGGTAAAGAATAAAAGGGGATTACAATTTCTCGAGGCGTGTCAAGCTGCCCAAATTCTGTATTTCACCAGCAAGTGATGTGTTATGCAGATCCCTGAGCATAAATACCACCAAAACATAAGGAAAATGTAACATCAATTTTAGCAAACTAGTTAGATTTCATCACCAAAAATATTATCAAACTAGTTTACAATGTTTTAAGATCAAGCAAATCGCCGATGGCTGCACTAATCGACCTCAAACTGATTCCCGGAAGCTCCCTAAAAAGACATAGACGGTAAGTTCAGCATAAGAGATAAAATGAAACGTTAATTCTAGAACTACAATGAACATACAGTGATGTGACTATGTTTCCTTCGCATCCAATTTGATCCCATGATTTAGGAGAGCAAGGATCATCTTGCCACCCCAAATCTAAACCGGTAGACTGTTGGATAACCTGAAGAGCTGATACTGCAACATAATGTAGGAGATCACACAAAAATAAAGTCAGTTGTGGATCGAAATTAGCGCATCAAGTGACCTTAATTATTAATTGTGGCAAATTGAAATGGTACCTGTAGTGGAGGAGGCTTCCTCTGGAACATCGAGAATTTCATACACCTCGATTGCGTTGACTTGAGGATAGAAGCTGATGGTCTTCAGTGTGACGTTCAAGCTCATTATTCCTCTCTGTTTAAAATATAGTGTTCTAACTTCTGAGCTTCTGATGGTATAGTTTGACTGCACAACAGCACCGTTGATTAAGATATCGAACGAAGGAAAAACAGGAAGAATCCCAGCAAAATAGAGGACAATGTAGTAGTCTGCCAGGGTATCAAGAGGAAAGGTATATGTCAACATGGTCCTTCGCGCCAAAACTCTTGCTGTTTGGAGAATGGCAGCAGGGGGAGCCTCCTTCAAAGCAGAAAAATTGAAGCTAAGCTGAGTCTTGAACTCGGTGGACGTATGAAATGGCGAAAAGCTTTGATCAGCATCCCATATCCGATCATACGGATCCAAAGGATACCTGTTTTTAGACAACGAAAACTCCAATAAAACATCAAAGTTAATGGTGAACTGACCCAACTCAGTATAAGCTCTTGAGAGTCAGAAAATTTCATACCTCAAAGTTCCATTCGTGTAACCGCAATTTATCCGGTAGTTTTTCCTAAGTGACTTGTTAGGGAAATCTTCCATGCCACTTGTGTAAGCTTCTTGAGGAAGTGGCCTAACTTCAAGTGTAGAAATTACAGGAGCTCCTCTACCTGCAATTTCGTGCAAACAGAACGACACCATGTCCTTGTCAACTGGCCAAACGAACTCTTCTGTCCACGGATCATTTTTTAGGAGATCTATAGTACTAACAATGGCTGTCCCAAGAGAGACGGAGAATGACGGGGGCCTTCGATGCCCGTCATAGTTTTTATATACAAACTGAGCTCTCACAAGAACCAAAGATGACACATTGGTGACTGGTAGCTTGTAACATTTCCGGCCTTGGGAAATTGGGAAGTACCGAACCGGGACACTAGATGAGGAGGTTCCTTCAATGTAATCAACACTGGTTGTGTTGCCTGTGGTGATGTATGCACTGTCTGGAATCCATGAGATTGAAGATGAATCGGTGTAATCGGCAGTTCCACCGCAAGTTAAGCTCAAGAAACCTGTCCATCATTTGCATGAAGAACCAACACTTAAAATGTAGGAATTAGGAGGATAAACCAAAAAGTTTGATGAAAAATTTGCATACCATCTTGGTCACATAAGGCAACTAGCGAAAAGCCAAAGAACAGACAGATGCCAACCCAGAAACAATGGAGGTCCATGAATTCGGAACCACGAAAGTTTGCTATCTTCAGAAACCAGAGAAGCCCAAAATACTTATCTAGGAAACAAAAGGGGTAAACAGAGTGAAGATTTCAAAAGAAGGAAGTGAAAGAGATATTGGTATCCAAGAAAATGATTGTATTTCTTTAGTGGGGTCACTGGGGTGACAAATTGATGAGTTAGTTACGAATAAAATATCAAAAGTGGCATTTTATTTAGCAGTTTTTGTTTAATAGTCAGGACTACTCAGTAACACAGGAATTTTAACGGCTCTATTTAGTAATGAATCTGTAAAAAGGAGATAAAAGAAGGTTGTGACTGAGGATGAAAAAGGCGCACTGGTGATGATGGAGTAGCAAATAATTATAATTATGAGCTATGCACAGTGCTAGTAATAATATTGTAGTAGGTGTTGAAAAAGAAGGCCACTTTCAGTTATGAATAGAGAAGTTATTAAGAGTACATGTAACATAGTGTTAATTTTGGGGTTTTGAAGTGAGAGATTCTGCCGCATCATCGAGGATATATTCTCATTTCAATGTCTCACTCATTATGTGGTCTAGTCTTGTCTTGAGCAAGATACTCGTATAAAATATATTATTTTTGTATGCATGCAACGTTCCAACTCATCGTGTTGTAAAATTGGGAAACTTTTTTCTTGGTTATTTTTTAAAAAAAAAATCCAGGAAAAAATAAGAAAGAAAAAGGGAGGGTCTTGCTTGTCTTAGATATAAGCAACAGTTGCATTAGATTAATTAGTCAAGGCTTGAAATGCAAGTTTCAGTAATGTGGGTTAGTGGAAGATGATGATGCATAGGATGCTTAATGCAGGATGCAACAAAACAATGATTTTTGTGGTTCCCTTTGTGTATAGCTTTGCTTGTAATTTCTCTCTTGCTCCAACTGCTACCTTTTATGGGAAGAAAAGGTGCTTTGTCCTAACCAAACCCATCATTTTGGGCCTACAAAGGAAGACAAAATATGAACCAATACCCTATGTTTCTCATGCATCAATGATATATGCTATTTATTTCTAAGACCATCTCTAACTTTTGGAGTAAAATCTAAAAATTTTAGTCCAAAAAATTTAGATTTTAACAAAAAAAATCACTAAATTTGGGTGAATTTTGAGTTAAATTATTTTTAAATTATTTTAGCCGTTGAATTTAAATTTGAGCCGTAAGATCTTTTTTTATACCGTTGAATTTGATTATATTAGATACCAGCCGTTGGATTCAATAAATATATAAATATAAAACAAGACAAAAATTTGAATGTGGACAACCAACGGCCCATTTAAATGCACGATAAAAAAATATAGAGCCGTTAGGCTCATGATTGCAAGCCTACATGGGTGGGGTCCGGCTGCTGCTTCCTTGGCACCTGCAAAGGTTTAGGTAGGTGAGAGTTGGGCATTAGGGCTTCACTTTTTGTTTTTCACTCTCACATGTGGGCTCCACCGTTAATTTTGGGCTAAATTTTGAGAGGAATTTGAGTTTTCTTTAAGTTTTAACACTTAAACTCAATTTTAGAATAAGGGTTGGAGAGAAATTTGAGGAGGGGGGGGGGGAATTTAGGACTTACTCCAAGGGTTGGAGTTGGTCTAAGTTTATTCATATATTTGTTGAATATTTCAACTTCTTCCCTGTGTATCCCATGACTTTGAGTCAGAAGCTCCAGTTTTGGAGAGACTTACATGAAACAAGAACGCCAAGGACCAAGGTAGCGTTGACCTTAATCTATCATATGTCACATATGCTTTAACTTTCTCACGTAGCATTGCATGATTGGTTTGGGACACCGTACCTCAGCATTCCCATTTCATGTAAATCATTGTGCTTAGTTAGTTAATCTGATGCCAGGCAAAGCTCTCTCTAATCGATAGGCCTGTATGCATACATGCACCTGCCAATGTCAACTTCATGTATCAAAAATGGGGAGAGAACCAAGTATAAACCATAGATAGGAAAGCCTACTATTGTAAGGGATTTCAAGGTTTAATCATCACGGAATAAGGTGGACATATCCAAGTTCAAACATAAGCACAACCGATAGGGTTATGAAATTGGCCAAATTTGTGTTTAGCAGCAGTGCAATTTAAGACTCTCATGTTGAGATGATCCAATCTATATCGGTGTCCGTCACTTTCGCCTTTGCTGTTTGTGCTTGGCCTTTGAAGTGCTCGGCTTGGCAACAAATTGAAAATTTGGATCTGGCTTTTGAGTCGAGGCTGCAGTGTACCCTGCACAATCAGTGCTTATCCCACTTACAATATGGAATGTGGAAAATATCATCAATCAATTATAACAGAGTAATTGATACCGGCCTCCCTTCCTCACCCGGTTACAATAAAGAACTTTACCTTGTTCAATCATCAATGGTTTTGGGTTCTGGCCTGATGAAGGATTTTCCCCAAATTTAAAGATTGCTCCATTGTTCGGCTTCTTGGCATACGGCTTCTTGGCATTGGAATCCTACAAATGGTGGGTAAATGCATACACAATTTATTTAAGGAAGCAGATTCAGATCAATGTCACCCTGTACGGGGATTAGGGCATTGTATAAGAAAAGAGAAAACATAGAAGATTTTCCATCATACATTGCTTTCAAAATATATAACGAAAGTAGCTTGAATCGCCTACTCTAGATCCCAAGAGACTTATTAATTGAATTAGCCATTGTAACAGCAGAGGAGGATAAAACCCTTCTCCTCACTAATGAAGTAATATCCTCTCACTAAAACAACAATTAAGTTTCCTTGCTTCGGCACTGCATATTGTTTACAGAAGCGTATACCTATAACTTGTAACCTTGTAGCCAGCCCGGCACCAAAAACTAGGAAAATAAGGAGTCATCTGAGTTTCAACAACAAAAAAGGGAGGCATCTGAATTGGATTCTCTCAATAGTTAAGTTGCCACGCCCAGCCGGGGAGGAGGAAAGTACAAAACTAAAGGAGTTACCCTACTTTAATGCAAATACATTGTTGAAGCCAGTTTCTAATCTCACATTTGCAAACGATCAATTTCCTTAGCCATCATTTTCAACCTAAAAGCGCCTAAATACGACAAATTTGTTCCACATCAGGAAGTTTGATTATCAGATCTTAAAGAAAAATCACAATTTACTATCGTGGATTATTTTTTGTGAAACAAAATTCACAGAACGAACATAACAGACCTAAAAGACACTTACCAATTGATGGAATCTTAAAGGTACTTATCATTTATTAACTAATACTACGTGCAAATCATACACAATATCATTGTGTATTTAGAGCTTATGATGTCTAGTTATATCAAGATCAATATTGCTTTCTAATCCATCAAAGGGCTCCTAAGTAACTTAACTTAAAGAATTGGAAACTATCATAGCACAAGAATAAGGTAGACAAGGATGAAACTAAAGGAAATCATAAATAAAAACAAACTAGATAAAATTAATCAAATTCTATTTCATCAATTCCTTTGTTGATATAAGATTCTAGACTTTTAAAATCCACAGTTCATCAGGATATATGCACACTAATTAATACAAAGTTATAAACTAAAAAATAAATGGTAGGAGAAGCTCAAACTCACAGCATAATAGTCGACCCATCTCATATAGCGCATAAGATGTTCAAACGTTAGAAATGATTGGCCTGTTCTGGGACAGAAGAAGCCCTACAATTGCCATGCATAAAAAAAGTATCAGTCCTTGCAGCTCTTAAACTTTTTTATGTTTCAACTATTTTATTTTTATCATTGAAACTTTTAGCGTCTGGTTACAAGTGAACCAAATATGCAGAGAGAAGAAAATAGTGAAGCAAATATCACTCAAGGAAGTTGATCTAATGTATAAGGCTTAAGATTATGAAAAGAAGGAAAGCATAAAGTCCAGAAGTACGGTATAACAATGACAGAACCAGGATTTTGCTAAATCTAGCACAGCTAAGTCCATGAATAATAATGAGTGAATCTAAAATCGACTAACAAGGACCATATGATTAAATGCCCGTAATTGGTAAAACTACGAAGTACTTATATTAGGAAAAACTGATTTTATTATATATTGAGCTATTTAATGTTACAAATGCATTCTTTTTATTAAAACCATCATGTGCGCATTTGCTATAACCACCAAAAATCTTGCATCGCTTGATGATAACATGCTTCAAACATTAAATAAGCACCTATAATGTGACCGTTGAAGTAATTCAACACGTGCAACTATTTGGAAAACGACATTACCAAGATTCCTCTTAATTAAACATGTTACGACAAAGCTGAATTGAATGTTCAATGATCGTGTGCCATGCACTAAATATACATTGGCTGTATGAAATTCAAATGTACAGAAGTTACATGGAAACAATACTTAGATTCATCTAAAACATGTCCAACAAAGCTGAACTGAATTTTCAACGATCTTGTACCAACCATGTATGTACTGCCAATTATATCATTTTAACATTGAGCGATCTTAAAAGATAACCAGTATCATCTAATAAGAAATACATTGTTGCGTAGTATCAAACATTTCTACCTAAACAGAGTATGACATTTTTGTGTTCCATCGATATAAGATCAACACAAATTCACGTGCAGTAAAGAAAATTAAAAATTGCTATAGTAAGTTTCAGCTTTAAGCCTTTAAACCACAGGTGTGCATGGGCAAAGCCACATTGGCTAGGTGGATATTCTCCTGCCTATGTACCCAAGTTTGAATCCCCTCCCAGCTTGTATAAAAAAGAAGTTGAGCATCTAAGCTAATTAAACAATTTAACAACACCAGAAAACAACCGAAAGCTTCAAATCTGGACTTCGAATGATCAAAACAGTGGTTCTGCTCCTCATAAAATCAACAACAAATTTTATTTTTAAAATATCTTTCATGTAAGCAAATGAGGGCCCATGGTTCCCAGTTTTCTTAAACAACATATACCTTACATGTCCCTTATATTTTTAAATGAACAAAAAAATCGTTAACAGTCACAGCACAAATCATATAAAAAGACCCATCGCACCGCAATCAAAACCGAACCCAAAGCTTCAAAATTTACAAAGAAAGCTTTACCAAATACCATTCAAACTAAAAGGGTATAGATTTTAGACTACCTTTACATGATTCCCTTCTCTTTTATCCAACTCCCAACCTTCAGGAATCTGAAGCCACCTATTCCTCGGTGCCATTGCTCAGAAAAAGACCAACCCAGAAAACTGAACTTTCTGCGCAGCTCTCGACAGCAAAGCGAGGGGATTTTTATTGCTGGGTTTTGGATAAGAGCGAGGGAGCAAACATGGAAGGAGGAAGAGAGAGATAGGTTGAAAAACACGTGGTACCATTTTCTGGTGAGGGATGATGAGGACGAAGAATGCTTAAGATGGTATGGTAATAAAGACGATGAAGAAGAATCTTATCTGGGTTCTTAGCTGGTCCTTGATTTTTCATGCGGACAGACGAGAATTGTGTATTCTGCGCTGGATTTTTGCATATTTGGAGAGAGAAAGAGAGAGAGGGAGAAGAGAGAGCGCGCCAAAATTAGGTTTTTACCGGCTTCATAAATAGGGAAGCAGCCGTTACTGGTTTTGAATTGGCTCGCTCACCGAGGATCTGCCAAACGACTGTGTTTCGTTGTTGGGCCATGGGGTGACTAGGGTTGTATACAATAGGGGTGTTTGGGGAGAGTCAGGAGAAGCTCTTATGCACAAGTTTAAGATTAGGGATTTTGTGAGAGGGGGCGAGACCAAAGTCGACCATGATTAGCCTGACAAATTAGGAGGTGGCATGGGGTAGAGAAGTTTTTTTTGTGTGTCTAAATTCGCACGGATACGTAGTCCGCTTGTTGGACTCTAAAATTTCTGAGAGTTAGAGATTACAACAAAGGAAAATGCGGCATCTCAATCTAAATGTCTTGGTCACCCTAAAATAATTTCTTTATATACCTTTCTCTATATGGGATTGTTAATAGCACTTTAAAAAGTTATGTTGCACTACTCTCTCACAAAATGATGCAGATGTGAGTTATGTCAGTTAGATAGTACAATGTATTCGTTTTATTGCACTCAAGTTTGAATTTTCTTTATTGTAAATTAGAGTGATTTAGAATATCGTCTCTTGATAAAATTGAAAGTGAAAAATTATAGCAAGATAACATTTTGGATTGCCAACAACAATTTTAAAACCTTAGACAATTTTTTTTTGGAACAACATGACTTCTCATTATCTACACTAAGGAAGAGAGAGTGAGCTTAGTCTCACAATGGACTTGTGGTTCAAAGTTGTCTTTGACAAGATTCAAACCTAAAACCTCTCACTTACAAGTGAAGGAATACTACTAGACCGTAGTATTAGCATCTTATATTAGCACCTCGGAAAAATAATTGTCTAACATAGAGTTTAAGTTGATTTAGATATCTTCTTAAGTTTCATAATGCATACTACTTATTTGTTAGTTCATTCATATATTTGTTAAATATGCATATTGGCAACAGAACTGTGACGATATTCTTACTAAACCAATAATATGGTATCCCATCCTGCATAAAAAATGCCGAGCGAACCAATTATTAAAAAAGGAAAGCCCACTACTATATATTAGTTCAACCATCACAAAATGATGGTAGATTAGTTCCAATGACATGATGATGGACACACACTACAACAAAACTTGCCAGAACAACCGAGAGTTTTACAAATTTGACATTCTGGAAGCTTTAGAATCCTTCACTTTTGCTTTTTGCCATGAGAACGCAACCTTCGACCTTCAGTTGAGCTGTTGCATGCTGCTGCAGGCTCGGTGCTTTCCTCACCTACAACAGAAAAATTAAGGAACTCAAATTCATCAATTATAACATAGTAATTCATCTCCCTCCCTCTCCCATCAAGTGAAGAATTTCACATCTTTACCTTGTTTAGTGACAGATGACTTTGAGCTCTGGCCTGATGAGAGTTTCTTCCCAGCTTTTGACCTAGATACTTCATTCGGAATGGTGCTTCGAAAATCCTACACATGATGGCCAAATTGCTTTCAAATCTAGAAGACTATAACGAAAGTTGCTTGAATAGCCTACTTGGGAAACTTAGCGATTTATTAGTACAATATGATAAAGCCCTTCTTCCAGTTGGGAATATCAACTGACGTAATATCCGACCACGAAAACAACAATCAAATTCTTACAGAGAAGCCCGACCTATACCTTGTTGGCAGCCAGGCACCAAAAACCCAGAAATATAAGGAGGCAACTTAATATAGGATTGTCGATAAGATGAGGCTAAAAGGAAGCCTATAGTTAAACTGAAAGTACAAACTGAGTTGCCCTACTTTAATGCAAATACATAACTGAAGCAAGTCTCATACAAGATCAAATTCCTTATGTCCTTTTCAACCGAAAAACGCCTAATTATGGAAAAATTACTCCTAATTATGGAAAAATTACTCCTGATTAGCAAGCTGATCATTAAGTATTAGATCTTCAAAAAACTAAGGGATGTAAGTTTTTACTGGAGTTGTGGATTAGTACCCGTTAAACAAAATTCACACTTGCCATACCATGAGCAAATGGTACACAGTATACTCAGACCTAATTGTTTGAATGCACTTATACTTCGCAAATTATTATCGAAACTTCTCTTAAATACATCAAGAGATTCATACTAAGTAACCTACTTTAAAGGACAGGAAACAATCATAGCACACATGAATGGTAGACAATGATAATGTATTTGGATCTAAGGGCAATCTTAAACAGACACAAACAGCTTGATAAAGTGTTGAAATTTCATCATTTTTCTCATTTGGAAATAAGATTCTAGGCTACGAAATCCACATTTAAGCTACATATGTATATGCATGAAAATTATTAGAAAAAAGAGCAGACTAAAATAAAGAAGATAGGAGCTCAAACTCACTGGTGCATATATTGAAACCTTCGCAGCTTTAGCATACCGAACATATCGCATCAGCTTTTCATAGGTAGAAAACTCTTGTTCAGTCTGTGGGCAGAAGAAGGACTGCAAAATAAAATTGAAAAGCATCAGTCCTTACAGGTCTATATTGTTTTTATGTTTCAACTAGTTTTTCTTTATTGTCAAGACTTGCTAGCTTTACTTAATTTAATTCTATTATAACTAGCTATTACAAATATTCTTAGTAGCATCCCTTTGACACTATCTAAAAAAATATGGTTACAAATCAACCAAATATTCAGATTAAAACAGAAGGAAAATGGGTTAAGCAAATATCACTAGCAAAGGAAGTTGATCTAGCATTTAGAGGCCCTAGATTCCGTAAAAAGGGAAAGTAGAGTATCATCTACCTTGCCTGCTAGAAGTTTCTGCTCATAGCTTATAACTTTCTACCATTAGTTTCGGTAAAGTATCTTGAACTGCTACATTTGATAGGGTCTTATATAGTCTAGTTAAATAAGAGCAACTGAGTGCCACCACCTTGTTTCTCTTTCTAGCAGTTAAAGTCTTTTATGTGTAAATCAAATTTGCCATAAGAGGGTTTCATGGAGCCAGATAAAAAAGAAGAAGAATGAAAGATCTAGGATTTCGCTCAATTGGGAACAGTTACTTTATAAGTTTGTGCATAATAATGAGGCAATACATAATCAACAAACAGTGATCGATCATGATTGCATGCTGTCGATTTACAAAGTTGCATATACGTTACAAACGCATATGGAAAAATAAGTTTCCGTATATGATGAGCTATTCTCTAATCTCTATAACAACAACAAAATCTTGTGTCGCTTGTAGACATTCAACATTCATTAAGCTTCTCAAATGCGATGGTAAAAAAAAATCAACACGTGTAACTATTTGGAAAACAACATTCTTTAGATTCATCTTAAATGCGTTACGACAAAATTGAACTGGATGTTCAATGATCATGTCTTACGGACTTAATTTATGACAGCTACATGCAATCCAACACGTGCAGCTAAAACAATCGTACGTAGATTCATCTAAAACATTTCACAACAAAGCTGAACTTAAAGATCAAATGATTTTGTACCACGTACTAGCAAATATATCTTCTCAACATTAACAGATCTCACAAGATCTAACATCTGAGCACATACCTTATGGATCACTGGGATCTGTGAATGTCAATGCGTTCTAACTGAGGAACAACACAATCAATCAACGAGTAAGGATACAATATTGTACTTATTTTTTACCGGATCAAAGCAATGTTCCAATGCAGTCCAAAATAATCAAAACTTTTCCATCCTAATTTGTGCTTGAACAGTTAAAACTTGTGATAAGAAAATAAAACACTTTAACAAAACTAGATAATCATTTTTCTAAGGGAAAAGAAATCACTGAAAGCTTCAAATATGCACATCAAATCATCAAACAGTAGTTCTTCTACTCATATAAAAACAAGTCAAATTTTATTTTCAGAAAAATTCTTCCATTTACTTATCTCAAATGTTTAATTATATTAATCAAAGAACATAAAGATGCTCATATTAATATCACCACATTAAAAACAGAACCCCATCAAACCATAATCAAAGTTTAACCCAAAGCTTCAAAATTTACAAAAATGGGTAAGATTATATCAGACTCAAGCAAAAGGGTATAGAATTTGGACTACCTGGACCTCAGTCCCGTCGCTCTCCACCCTCGTGTGGAGGACCCAGCCGTCGGGAATCTCAAGCGAGTTGTTCTTCTTTGGTGCCATTTGCTCACTAAAAGAACAGCCCAACAAAACTGTGCTATCTCTGTGGAGCTCACAATCAAAGCCTAACAAACTGTGCTCTCTCTGAGAAGCTCACAATCAAACCTTGGGGATTCTTATAACTGAGTTTTCGATACAAACGAGGACGAAAACATGGAATGCAAGGCGAGAAGGGGAGAGACCTTGGTTGGCAAACTCGTGGGGACATTTTTGGAGAGAGGATGAACAAGGTTTAGGATTGGTTTCACAATAAAGATGATGAAGAAGATTCTTTGCTGGCTTAGCTGGTTCTTGAATGAGGGTTCATTTCATGCAGACGGGGACAAGCGAGAATTGTGCGTTATGAGTTGGATTTTTTGTGTATTTGATATACAGTGTAGCATGCGTTTTTTTGTGTATGGGAGATTAGCGAGTGAACCAGAGGGAGCCAAAATTAGGTTTTCTGGGTTCAGCAGCCGTTACTAACTAGTTTTTGAATTGGCTCGCTCTCCGAATACTCTCTAAACGACTGCGTTTGGCTGAACGACCATGCCTTTATGTGGTTGGGCTATGGGAGAGTGAAGACTATATGGTAAATATATTATTGGGATAAATTTTGGGGAGCTTTAATGAAAAGGGCTTGAGCCAACAAATATTTAACCAAAAACCATTCTAAAATGTTATTTAACCAAAATGGCATAAAGTTTAATAAAAAAATCATCTAAAATTATTGTTCACGGGCCAACAAATATTCTACTGAGTCCATGCACCACCATAAGGACCAAAACTATTAGCACTATCTTGGGAATGTCTCCGCCTCCTCATCTTCTTTTTCCCTTCGTCTTTCCTTGAGCCACTTTCCTCATGCCTGCTCTTCTCTCTCCTTGAGCCATTTTCTTCATATCTGATCTTCTTCCCCACCTCCCCATTTTCTTTTCCCATCTTACTTGACTTCTCTTTAAATGAAGCTTTCTTCTTCTTTCCTGATGATTGCCCACTGTCACCTGCAGTAGAATCATGTCCCAGCGGCAGGGGATCATCTTCATCATCTAACTGCCAATTTCCCAGTAATT